AGTTCTGTACACTGTCATTGTATACATACAGAACTAGTAATACTGAACAGGCCTCTTCTCCTTTTAGTTCATCTGTTCCATCATACAAACTTGTTTTCTTTTGATATACCTTTCTACATTTTCATTTAGAAAAATCTTATGAAGAAGTCAAGATCAATTTACTGAGAATTTCCAGAGGACGATATGAAAGCTAGGTATCTGCAGATGAGAAATAAGCTATGGGTTATTAACTTCAATTAAAAATTAGAGATTGTTCTTCCAAGAATATGCAGTATTAGTCTATGAGGTGAGAAGGGGATGGCTGCCCTGTTGGGAGAGCTGAGGTCATCAAAGACCATTCCAGAGCCAATCATTTGTACCTCCAGAAGCATCTTGTTATAGAAGCAAATACAGTCCCTGGAGGAGTGAAGCTCACTCATCTATCAGGTCCAGCAAATGTCTACAAGAGGAACTACTCAGTTATTATTCAGTGAACACATTAGCACAGGGGTCTGGGAAGACAGGTTGCCATCTTGGGATGCAGAAGCAAGGCAGTGGAGGCATCACCTGCCCAGTCCAATGCTATGGGCTGTCAAGGTTCTGCCTGCTCTCATTTCCCAAGGCTGAGCGAGATGCCTTCCACTGTGCTGCTGCAGTACTGAGGGTCTGCCCAACATACCACTCATCTCTCTGCCTGTGTCCCATGAGGTCATGAGTTCCATAGAAGGACTGTCTGTAGTTGCATAGGCCGTGCTCCTAGTCAAGTGTGTACCCCTGGTACATTACTGGGTGTTGATGGATGAACGTGGTAGGGAATGAACGAGCAGATAAAATCCTGATTGGCTTGGAGGAGGTTCCCTGTGGACCAGAGAGCTGCTGTTCAGGTTCCAGGGTATTTGTGTACCAAGGCAGGGAGGGAAATGGCTCTGAGGGCAAAGATGAGCTTTGTGAATATCCTAAGAGTAAATATTTTGTTTTGTTAAAATTAATATTTTACAGTAAAGTGTGCAAGTGTGGGTAAATGTTTTCCTCAATAGCTCATTGTTGCCTACTCTCTGATGCCCTCATTTTTAGTCTATGGTCTACATTAAGCCTGTCTTCCCATTTCCTCCACTGTAGCTTGCTTGAACTGGCTCTGTTCCTCAAGCCCACCTTGTACAGCAACCTGTATTAGAGCCCAGGGGACAGGGCTCTGGCATGATATGTTCTTGTGTGCAGGACCTACATTATCTTTTACTACCTCAGAGGCCCAGAGCAATTCAATTTGCTTCTCCGAGTCCTAGTTCTCTCATCTAATGAAATCTTGCTCTGAACTTGAATTTTCTCTTTTCTTTTTAGGGTTTTGCCATAGGGCACATGCACTTGCCAGAGAGAGACAGAGAGAGGGAAAGTGAGAAATCACCTCTTGGGGGATGGTCATATCACAACTCCTTTCCTCCATTCTCCTCTTGGGATATTAGGCTCACATGCACACACAACCTGGCATGACTTTCAAGCCACCTGGTCTAGGACTCAAACCATGATCGGCCATGGGCGAGTCCAGTTCCTTAACCACTACACCACCTGGTCCAGTGCCTTAACCACTCCTCCCCCTGCTCGCCCCGAGCTTTGATTTTTTTTTTTTTAATCTTTACTAAAATCTACCTTGTGTGACTGCCATGAGGAGTAGATGATGTAGAATATATATAGCCCACATACTTCGCTTGGCAAGTGGGAGGCAGCCAAACACTGGTGCTCCCCCATTCTTTCACCCCTCTCTCTACCTGGTGGGTTGGTAGTTGGCCACTCTTTTTCCCTGATTTATTCCACATGTACTGATCCTTTAGGGCCTGCTTCAAAGATCACCTTCTCCACAAAAATCCCACTCTCTTCCTGCTGCACACAGTCTTTCCTACCCCTGTGGCTGCTGAAAACAGTCTTTCCTACCCCTGTGGTCTGTCATCTTCTTTTGAACATCTATAGTACTTACCACTTTCTCCTGGTTCCTCAGTGATTGCCAGGTATTTTTTCTTTCCCTGGTCTACGAGTTTCATGGGGGCAAATTTCCCATCTTGTAATATTATTTCCCCAAACCACCTAGCAGAACAATGCACACCCAGTAGGCATTTAAAAATAATGAGCTGAATATGTACAAGACAATTCTCTGTATTTAGAATTTATCACTCAATTCTTTCTTGTATATATAAAAATGTATCTTTCCATTTGATCCACTGAGAGGGAAAAAACAAAAAAAAACCCCAGGCTTCACTGCAAATAGCCAATCTCACACAATATCTAGAGAATTCCCTGGAAACAGTTAAAAATAATGGCTAGTCACATGGGCAATTGTAATAAAGCCCTGCTTTATTGCAGGCTAGTCACAATTTAAAGGGCTAGTTACAACTTAAAAATTATGAAAATGCTTAAATGGGGGCAATTGGTATTTCCCAAAGGCTAGCTAGTCCATAGTTATTGCCCCAAACATCTTTATCTTTCTTACACTTTCTTAAACTATATAGTATGGAAGGGACATAAATCACAGCTGTTATTATTAGGGTTTTCCAGTGAAGATGTGTGGGAGGAGGAGGTCCTTGAGAATTTGAAGAAGTCATACATGGTTGTTGTCAGGTCTGAAGTTACTGAGCTGTTTGAAGGTTTTCCAGATGGAATCTCAGAATTAGGTTTAAACCAGACCTGGCAAGTCAGGAGGCAGTTGCTGAAGGATATAATTTGAGGCAGTTGGAGAACCCCCATTCTAAAACATTCTTTTTCATTAGTACCTGAGAGGGATTGCTATGTGTCTGGAAGACTCTCTAATCTTTCAGAGGTTCTTATTCTTGGAGAAAGACAAACCTTAACCAGCCTTTACACAATGGCTCCTTGTAGAAAGGATTCTCTGCTCCAAGGAGTCTGGGAAATGCTGCATGCTCCATCTCTCTTTGTGGCTTACATGATGCTGTAGGGCACAGTAGCCTATTGGAGGCTCTGAGGAGTCACGTGGTAAAGAAATCTATGTAATTTAACTCAGAACTCTCCTACTTATTTAACTATGGGATCAGTCTTACTTCTTTTTTCTTTTTTCCTGGTTGTTGCAAAATCCCGAATGACATCATATAAAACTGGGATTTTACAGAACATATTTTTAACACACTGTCTCAGCTACTACTAGCTATCACCAAAATGGGGATCAGTTTTAGGCTAAGAATGTAATACAAAGAGACTTGCATGAGAGAAAGTCAAGAGAAGGATGAAGAATGATGAAGGCGAGCCCTAACAGCCCCCCAGACACAATCTGGCAGTCTTGCTCAGGCCCAGCCATGGTTTCCATTCCAGACATTGTTTTGTCGTTTTTTTTTTTTTTTTTTTTTTTTTTCTCGCTTAGAAAGCGCAGTTGTTATCTAGTGATACTATTAGGTTAAAAGGAGCATTTTGCATCTTCATGTGATCTTCATTGTCTGGTGTAGGGAGGAAAGAAAAAGGAGGTGCTTGGACAGTAACATTTGCTCTGATAGATGTGAAAAGAGGGAAAGGAATAGGCCAAAAGAGAAAGGGGAAGTTGAGGTGAGAAATGCTCTGGCAACGGGCAGTTAAGGGTGGAAGGCCCTGTACAGATGCAGTAGAGAGAGATAGTGAAGGATCATGATAGGTCATGTTGAAGCTAACACACCCACCCACTCAAGTCAGGAATAAAAATAACAGCTGGGACAGGAGACTTCCTTTAATGTGTAGCTGGTCTTCCTAGCCACCTGGCAGTAGGGTATTTATTCCTACAAGTAGCTTCTACCCTTGAACCTCTCACTGCCCAAGGGTCTGCATTTCCTCAGTTGCTGCTAAGGGCCCTTTCTGAGATCCTAATAGTGCCGTGCTTCTTTTAGGAACATCGTGGTGGTTAACTGGAAGCACAGGAGTAGCGTTACAACAGGGCTCAGGTATTGTGCAGAAGCTAGAGTGGGGAGGGGCTGAGAAAGGTCATCTTTCCCAGGGCTGTCAGATGTTCCAATGCTTGCATGCAAAGCAACTAGATCTTTGGCAAGCTAAGGCAACTTAGATATACTGGAAGCTGAAAGCAAGATATGCAACACATTTGGGACTTTCTCTCTCATGCTGAGGGATAAAATTACCTGATTGCTCTACCAGGATACTTTTGATTTTTTTTTTTTTTTTGGTCTGTATCAATGTTAAAGTCATGTTAACGACCCAGTCAAATGTTTCCCTAATTTACAAATATTATATATTATTCAAAAGGGAGTATGTGTGGGATGGAAGAGAATGGAGCAATAGGACAACGCCCTTTACAAGAATTCAAAATTTTCCAAATGCTGTTTCATAGCAAACCTCTTTCAGAAAAATGATTCTGCCTGTGACAAGGCTGTGCTCTGGGATGGAGTGGAATTCATTAGTGCATACATTTTAAAAGCAATATTACCTAAGGAAAAATGGTTGAAATGACATGCCCAGTCTCCTGGAGTGAGCTCCCCAATAGAGACAACTCTTGGTCTAGAATGGTAGCCCTGCCTCTCAGAGTGTGCTCTTGCTTGAATCAATGGGGACCAGGGGGACTGAGGACACGACCTCATAGCCCTCTGCATCAGAACCAGATCTCCACCTGATTTGGGGTATAGGAGTTACTTCAGATAACTCGTTTCTTTGCATAAGTCAGAAAATCACCAGAACACACACTCCCTCTGAAATTAAGGACAGATTGGGAGAGCATTGGAGGAATGTGTTTCTATATGTTACAACATGTGGAGGAAATACTGTTGAGCCTGTGGGTGTTTATATTGCTGACACCATTTCTCTGGTTGTGTTACACAATTGAAATGATGTGGATTGTGTGAATGGATAACATGATTACCCATGGTATTGCACGTCTCCAATTCCAAATAAACACAACAGCAAAAACTAGACGAAAATGCAGAAAGAATAAATCACACAATGTCACTGAAGTCATGCAAAGAAGAAACAAAAATTTAAAAATGGGCAAGCAACAGACATCATAAATGAAAAAAAGCCAATGCATACAATTCTAAAATCATTCTTACCTTCTTCAGTCATTGTGTCATAATATTTTAGTTTTCCATATGATCCAAGTTCTACAACATCACAGTAAAAGACACAAAGATAAGGAACGAGCTATAATGCAAGAACTTTGTTTTTACACATTCTTAATTAATCAGATTCAGAGTTATACTGTCAAATTCTGCAATCGTACTATATGGAGATGTGCAAACATGGGCCATGTGGCAGACAGCTTTCACGGCCCATTTTCAGAAATCACTTAAAATATATTATTCTACTGGGGGTAGGATGTGCCCTGCCTTGCAGAATAGGACACAGTTATTTTAACATCCGACAAAACAGAATACTTGGCAAAGATAGCTTCCCCCTAGGTGGAGCCTAGCTCTATAATTTTTATAGAGATAATACTCCAAGAGAAAGGGATTGAACAAGGATTGTGTCCAGGCCCTTGGAGGTCACAGACACTGGGATTTCTTGCTAGGAGTAGTACCAGAAGTTCATTTCAATGCTCCTCTCTATCAGAACTATCTAGAGGATAAGGTAGGCTACTTGGGAAGACCCAAAAGAAAAAACCAGGTTTTAAGTTTCCCTTTCACTTCCTAGCTCATATTTTAGATAGAAAAACACCACACAGGATGTGTGCAGTGTGCAAGAAGAGTGTTCTGGGAGGAAGAGGAAGGCAGAGTCTCAGGGAAGACCACCTGGCTCAGGTGACAGAACTGTGGAATCCCCAGATCATGGCAACACCTGCTGGTATGTAAATAGCAAGGAGCGTGGGGGACAGAGAGGACCAACAGCCCCTCCTCTGAGTGCAGATCACCAGACTTAGTTGTAATGGAAACCACTGGCAGAAAGTGAGCTGTCCCGTCAGCTGGTAGGAAGGGCAGCTGGGGTGGAGGAGAGAGAGGAGGTGGGGATGTACCATTTCTGTTTTCTTACTTCAGTTTTAAAATAGAAACTTTTATTCTTGTTCATCTAAAAATTCCAGATTGTTTTAAGCAATGCTGTGAACAGGTTAAAAATATTTTTTTTTTCCTGGTCATAACAACACTTTCCCAATAAACTTCAAGAAATTAATTAGACTCAAGAGATATTCCTGTGATTTTGCAGAACATTTCCATGGCCCATTAACTTGAGCAGCTGCTGGAAATCCACATATGAATCAACTTCTAATTGATGGGCTTTAGGTACAAGATGAAGATTCTAGTTAAAAAATGCAATAATAAATATTGTTGTATATTAAATGATATATTCTCTATATAGTCTTTATCCATGTACCTAAAATTTTACCTAACACTATTTTAATACATCAATACAAAATTATGCCTTAGGGAGAAAAATCACCTTGTTTTTATGTTCCTGAAAATCCTGCCTATTCTGGCTTTTGTTAGATACATTAAGAAAGATGCAGGTATTTCAGCAAGAAATTGAATTCTGTATAAATAACAAGAAAAGCTTTTTCATGAGTCCCAGGGATTTCCTTTAGTAAAAAAAACACATTTTTCCTGGTATTTTAAGAGTTGTAGTTTATCATATATATGCCATGATACAAGTTTGGAATTGATAAATGATCTAAACAGATTCATATATATATTAAACACATGTTCATAGTGGCTTCACACATAATATATGAATTTGTGTGTATAATCTTGTAGTAAGCTGATGAATTATATCAGCCAACTATTTTTTGTCTTTTTGTAACTGCTCTTCCTTTCTTGAGATAAAGCAGTAGAATAAGAAGCTGGCATTCTCTATTATTTGCTCGGGAAACAGAACGTGAGTGACTCTACGTCTGTAAAGCCAGTGCAAGCCATATTCTCCACAGTGAAGATGCACTGTTGCGTTTTTATGGATCTGTCATTTTAGATGCAAACCTCTCTGTATGTGCACACCTGTTCTCATGTATAATTCCAACTGTCAAACATCCGCTTGTGGCAGATGATATTATTCTTAACCTCATCTCTTGTGGAACCAGGTATAAATAAACACATGCAATTACATTCACTCATCAGAACTGTTCATGTCTGATAAAGCTCACACGTTCTTGCCATTGTGGCAAGGTCTAGATTCTTTCTTAGCTGCTTCCTTGGGTGATGAATGGGACAGAAAGATAAGAACTGGACACTCATATAGAAAATGAGGCTAATGATGGTTGAAGAGAAGAAATAAGAATAGTGACAAGCTGAATAATAATGGTGGCAATGCAAACATAGTGAGGAAAGAGGAGACAGGAACACTATCTGCTCAAGCAAAGAGAACCATGTTTGCAGCTTACAAAAGAAAAGGCAGAAATGAATGGAGAAGGAACCAGCCTCTTAGAATATAGTCATTAACACTGAGAGCAATGGCATGATGAGACGGTGACCTCAGCAGCAACATCCTGAGGTAGCCGCTGGAGGGCAATGACTTCAAGAGCCATGTGGTCCTCTTTCCTGAACCAGGGCTCCAGGAGGTTCAGGAAGAGGAATGTGACATGCGACCAAGACAAACACAACATGCACACATAAGCCAGAACTCGTCACGCACCTGGCTGGTATGCTACAACCCATGGGTGCCTCATGAAAAGTGGCCACAGTCACTGTTGACAGCCTGCTGCCAGAGGGTCTAAGGCACAATGAAAACTCACCTGCTCAGGACTGTGGCTCCCAATCAGCATACTCCTCAACATGAATAGCCAAGGCACTTTAACATAACCAGATTAGCATCTGAATGGGCCTAATTCAAGCTGGAGTTTTTGGAGTAGGAGTGAGAGAGTGAGGGAATGAGGGAGGATATGATTTAACGCCATCCAGCAGGGTTCACTGTATCCACTGAGCCAGGATCTGAGGAGCAGCGCATCACCTGTGAATATCTTTCTGGATACCAACCATGTGGTGTCTGTTCTCTGTAACATTTCTCTAAGAAGGTCACACAGCTTGAGAAAAAATTCCAGTTGTCGCTTGAGATAAGCCTATAATCTGACATGAATGCTACCAATCAGTCACCACACTTGCTTTCACAACGTTGAATAGCTTGGGCCACAGGTGTGCAAGCTCCAAGGTCTCAAGGGGAATCTAACCTTTCATTGTTTTCCTGTCCACTTGCTTCCTGTCTTGTTGGTAATCTCACTACCTGGCTTTAAGGTACCTCTGAGTTCTTGTCCAAATTTAATGACTGAAAAGAATCAAGGCAACGGTCTTGTCTTCAATCTCAAAAGAGTCTGTAAATAAGAACTAGTATTTTGGGCTCCTAACCTCCTCCTTTCTTGAAAAGTACATGGACACAAATTTCTCCTTTCAGTATTGCCTTTTTTTGGCTTTCTCTTTGAGGTCTCTGACATTCCCAGCCTTTACCTACAAATTTTTGAAGAGGGGACAGCAGAAAAATGACTTCTCACATTTGAGGCCTCAAAATGCTAATGTGTAGTATTCTCAACTGGACTGAGATGTGTATCATGCTGGGTAAAGTCTCTTTACAATCTAAATGATGTATAGTGATTGAATATATAAATAATAATAATGATAATAATAATAATAATAATTAAAAACCCCAAAATTCTAATGTATAAAATAGAAAATCAATAGATGTAGCTATGCTGAGTTAATTTTATTAGCACGAAAAATAGAGGTAGAGAAATCAATGAGAACAGCATTAATTATTTAAGTGTTAGCTGATGGAAATAAATAATGATTAACTTGTTTATTTTTTTGAAATCAAAGCCTTATTTTTGATATTGGGTTGACCTATGTGTACACCTAAAGATTAAAGTTTTTTCAGTTCAGATAGTAGTTTTCTTGGTAATGCTTGCTGCCTAACAGCTATCAAAGAGGGTGTACATGAATACTGGATTGTATCACACCCATGTAATAATAGTTTCAGTAGCTCATGGACGTTAAAAATATGGGTTTTGAAATCAGGGGTGTTGATTTGGACCCGAGATTATTAGTCACTTAGTAGCTGTGTGACTTGAGCAAGTTACTTTGCCTCGCTGAGCCTCAGTGTCTGAAGTTATATTCGTAAAGGGGGCATGCTAATTGTATCTACCCCATAAGACAGTGGTGAAGGGAAAATGAGCAGTTGGTAATGGGAGACTACCAGTACTGCAGACACTGAGAAGAAGAGTGAAGGAGAACCCATGAGACCTGGGGCAGGCATTTGTAGAACTTGGTATTTTTTGTTTGTTGTTCTTCTTAATTTGCTAGAGGATGCGTGTACTTGCTGTAAAGAGCCAGAGAAAGGGAGGAGGAAAGTGAGAAAGCACCTCCCATGAGGGATGGTCACACCATAATTCCTTCTCCTACATTTGTCCCTTCTTTCGGGATTTTGGGCATTCACAAAATTTCTAGAGCCATGTTTTACAGTATAAACATTTTGGCTTGAAGGTGGAGCGTGTGTGTATGTATGTGTAATTGTGTGTATGGGAGTGTGCATGTATATTTTACATAAACCTGTGGATTTATTTTTATTATTGATTAGAAGTGATTTTGGAGTTTTGTAAATAGGTAGTATGAGAGATGAATATTTGCAATTTCCCATCCCACTCTCTATAAACAGAACACTTATATTTGTAGATCTATATAATTTTTAAATCTCTTGCAAAGTATCTTGTCTAAAATGGTATCATTTTCTTTTTTCTCTTATCTCCTTGTATGAAAAAATGTTATCAAAATAAACATTAATTCTGAGATAAAAGATGTCTTCTAATACAGCTTAATTTTAAGCATTTTGTTTGATTTTTATCTCAAAAAGGGCTGCTTGGACCAACGATATTAGTGGCTTTCCATTAAAAGGCTTTCTTTGTTCATTATTCTTTCATATCCAATGTTTATGTCAAACACGAGTACTTTTTTCAACGGAAATAAAAAAGCAACCAAACCTTTAGAGATGGAGGTTAAATGAGGAAATCCTCATTTCTTACTCAAGTCAGAAGGAAAGGAATATTTTAACCTTCAAATTCTAAATCTCACTCAAAAAAGCTTTCAAAGTACTGACTCACCACAGACACCCTGCTTAGCATTCTGTGGGGGATTGATGTTCGTGTGTTAAATTTCCCTAAGAGGCTCTTAAAACATGTACACATTTGCCTGGAGACAGC